ACTTCCTCTGCATCTCAGGAAATGGAGAAGCACTTCTGACTTCCAAATAATATAAAGTTACATTAATTTATTGCCCCTCTGCCATAAATTTCTCCACAGAAGAAAAATGATCTGGACTAGTTCTCACAAAAAGCACATGAGCTGGTAATACTATGCCTGGGCTATACAACTTCAGATTGCAGGTGGGGACTGACACAACTGAATCAGGTCCATACAAAAGCACATCTGCCTGGACACAGATAAATGAAATTTCAGGATGAAGCCTGGCCTTTTCCCTAACATTTGTCTCTCTGCAGGGAATGAATTTGCACAGAGGGTCATGAAATCATGTTAGTTCCCATGTGACATCTCAGGTGGCTGTTCAGATCCAAAATGCTCTGTCCTGGCCTCCAGTAATCAAAAGTCACTTTAGAACCGTTTATTGAAGTAACTTCCTTGAAAGCTCACAGTTCTGGCAGAGGCAATCACAGGCTGCAACTTTAGGTTGTCTGGGAACATCTAGTACCTGTTCGAACAGGTCCACGAGTCCTGTGCTCAAATACAGTGCCCACCAACAGCATCATTTCGTATTTGTGGTTCCACAGGTGACCAGAAGCTTTGGCAATCTTGGGTCTCCTGCAAAGTATCTGAGAAATCTATGAATCTACTCAGCCCTGGCAGAAAAAATGGCTCCTTAACCTGCAGCTATGCTTCATGGGGCATTTCTTCACTGTCCTCTTTTGCTGAAGGTACGCCCAAGGAAACACCTTCTCTTGCAGAGTGCTCCTGCTGCTGCCCTGTTGTTGATGATGATGTAGCAGCTGCTGTTGTTATATTGCATTTATATTCCATGTTTTTACTCCATTGCATAGCACCATTTTATCAGCCTAGATAGGATAGTCTGAAAGTGAGTAATTGGCCCAAAGACATCCAGTGTGTTTCATGGCTTCATGGCTCCCCTTCTGAATTCAGCTCTAGGGCTATGTTCAGATGGCATGGCAAACAACCCTGCATTGATGCCATGGCACACAGAGTTTTGCCTAACTGTACCTGCAGTGTCTGTGAACAAAATCTCCAGCCTTTGCCTACAGACTGCAGCAGCCTCCTCCTGACTAGTCCTTCTCTCCCCCAAGGGCACTTGCATGTCTGTGGTGTTTCGCAGCCACTTCAGCTCCCATAGAGATTTCTATTACATGAAAAGAAACAGTCTTGCTGTGATCCCCCCTCTCCCTCTGTGCATATTCATGCCACTTCCCTGTTTCAAAAAGTAACAGGGAAACAAACATATCTTTTGGCCAATGGGAATAAAGTGGCGATGAAGTGACTGTTGCTAGGGAACTGGGGGAAGTAGAGATGGAAGGTTGAAAGCAGCCTCTTCCACAGTTACTCTTGCAAAGGGGCTCTTTAATGTTGCTATAAAATGGTGATTCCAGTCCGGATGACCAAAGCATGATGACCTCTGAAGCATGAAAACTTTAGTCTAATTTCTACCATGCAGCAACTCTGGAACTGGGTATAGATGACACAACATACATATGGTTAGATTTCACTATTGCTTTTTGTGTCATGCAGGCTGTATCTACGCTGGGGCAGGATCCTGCAACAGCCTTTCAAAGAGACTATGATGCACTGAGTGATGTACAAATGGAAGGTTTATGTAACCCCTGGCCCTACTCACTCATGCCAATAATTGTGCCTCTGTCATTTAAAAAGAATTGCACAAATATCCCACCATCTCTTCCTTAAAAGGAGAGGTTTATATTTTTTCTTTTCTACTTGTAAGAAAAAAGATGGAAGTACCAGTGGGAAAACATAAACAGATTAAAAATGGAAGGCAATGGACAGATTCCCTGTACAATTCCATTAATGAGGCAAGGCAATTGATGTGCAATAAAAGCCTCATCTGGAAACACTCCAAATGACGTTTCAAGCCATCCCTAATATTGATACAACCACACTTAGAATAGTAGGTGTTTGACAGTGCTTGAAGGCTCACTGCAAAAAACTGAATGCTATGCTCATTTTGCATTGGCTTGTAAAGAAAACCGTATGACTTTACCATTTGCTCCTCTCTCTCTAAATTTACAGATCAACCAAGTTTATCCCATTGATTAGATTCCTCCCATTTCTCTGTTGTTACTAATTATTTATACACCAGCTTTACAGCACAAATCCTATGCAAGTTCACTCACCTCCCTTGAGTTCAATGCAATTTAATCTCAGCTGTGTGTATAGGATTTTTCAGCCTTAGTTTGTGGTGCTCTATAAACTTCAGTTTTTTTGCTCTTGCAAAAATTGTTTCTTCAGACAGGCCTGCTCTACTTCCATTTAAAATTGGGGACCTGAATCCAAGAGGGAGTGATACATTCACATAGTTTGCATGCTTCCTGGGGCAGAGTCACCGTGGTCACTGTGTAAATTAAACTTTACCCACAGATTTGCTATAGCAATCCTGTTCCATGGATTAAATTTATCTAAGTCACATTCACAAAAAGAAATCGGTAAACCAAATAAACAGTAGTGAACGTGCAATCCAGTGTGGTATACACACACCATTCTTTCATACCTTGGATTTTTGGCAAATTATGTCACAGCAGCTTCCCTTTCACAGCCTTCAGCGTGTGTTTTACATTATCTTGATTGGGAACTCCAACACAAGAGCTGTTTAAAGGAAGCCCTGGGCAGAAGAGGGAAATATCATGCACACACCTTTAGCAACCTGGGATGGAATCATGCAACTTTACAGCTGAAAAAAAGCCTTACTGGTTTACAGGCCCGAGTGACTTCTCCATGGTTGATCATGACCAACTCCTGTAAGATTTGGGATAGGAGCAGCTGAAGGATCAACTCCTCTAACAATCTGCCTCCACTCATGTGTCTCACAGTTGGTGAAACCAGGAAGATGGCCTTCTCTGTAGCTTTGCCTAGGCTCTGGAATTTCCTATTATACAGGCCTACCTTGTTCACTCTTTGATGGCATTCTTCCATTGTGGTCAGTGCCTTGTTTTTATAAAGGCAATTTGGCTTGAAAAGTTGCCCTTCTTGAAGATGGATTTTGAAGCTTTCCTTGAGATTGGTTTTTTGTATCTGTTGGTTGTGTGTGTGTACAGGCACATGGATGTGTTGGGTTCCGGATTTTATCTGCTGTTTTCCTTTTATATTGTTGCATTGTTTTATTGGCTAGAAATAACGTCCCAAAACAGTTCCACACATGTGCACAGAACCCACATGTGTGATGCACAGAGACCATGAAGAATAGATGACTGGAGAAGGGTGGGGAAAGAATTTTATAAATAAAAAATCTATTTGTCTGAAGCAAAATCTTGGTTTTAAATGAATACCTCCTATGTGGAAAATCACAGTCCAAAGCAACAAATTACACCATCATATCCATACTTGTACTGGTTGCTTGTTCAGGATTCTTTAGAAAAATGTTAAATCCTATGGAACACTCATAGGATCTATATTAACATTTTGACAGCTGCTCCTTGTAAGACTGCCCTCTCCTATAAAAATACATAGAAGCTCCCATCAGCTATGCTTGAATCTGTTAAAAGTTTGTCTTATTTGGCTTAAACTGTACCCTATTAAAGAACTGAAAAGAGCATTTAAGTTTGATCTAGGTGCAGCCTGGCCCTTCAGGGAAACAGACTCCTGTAACATGCACTGCCTCCCCATTTTTCCTGAAGGTTCTGGATTTGGGCACTCCCTGTTCTTGCCCAGTGACAATGCAGACAAGGAAAGAGAATAAAATGTCATTTCTGGCTATGACTGTTGCTACCCCAATACTCTGTCTGGCATAAGAAATTATAGTTCTTTATCCTGGTTTGCTTACTTAAGGGTGCACTATTGCTTGCACATTTTCTGTTTCATTAATAGTGGAAAAACATTTTTTTAGTCTGAAAGTTTTCAGCAACATGCACACTATTAAAATTTTACTCTCATCATTCTGAGTTTATTTCCCTAGTACTGTTACAGTGTAATAACAGTGCTTATGCAGGAATCTGTAGCAACAGATAGGAATTTAATATTATAGAAGGCATTTGTAAAGCACAATCTCGCAACCACTACTCATTTCTAGCAAGTGGTCATTTATATTACTGTGTCATCTTCCAGTTATTCACAATAAGTGTTTTATTATTAATTATACTTGGCATTAATATATTGATAATATGAAGAATAAGTAGATAAACTAAATGTTGTGTGTAGGAACAAGAGTTTCTGTTCTGCATCATACACAGGAAAATTCTAATAAAAAGTGCTGTGACTCAAAATAGCACTTGCTTATTTGCCTCCCACTGACAGAACATCTGCAGGCTTAATGAGACTACTCATAAAAATAAACACATCAACACATAAATTCTCATCCATGTAGCCAGTTGTGTCAGTAACTAAACCCATACTGTCTACAGAGTTAGAAGACATTTTAGCTAAGTTCCTGAATACATAAGGCTCGAACCCTGAAAAATTTGAACAAACTTGCAGTGCCCAATGTTACCATATGGTATATGCCATTCCAGATTTTGCATGGTCAATTCTTATGGTCTAAAATTCACTGCAAGTAGAACCCTTGCATCCCCATGGAAGAAATAATACATTCCGTGTTGCATCCACATTGGTAACTACTGTTTCTTAGTATTAATGCACCCAAATGAAGAGAGCAGTTCACTAATGCATATAGATAGGAAGCAGTGTCTGATCAGTACAGTACTTTCTCTGCATAGCCATTCCATCTATTGGAATTCAGAGCATAGGAACCACCTGCAGTCATCCATGTGGAGCTCTTGTTAAATAGAGGCCCTTGTATAATTCACATTAATTTCTGTAGGACTTGTACCAGAAAAGTTCCCAGCAGAGTAAGCTCAGTTTTCTGTAAAACTGGGTCATGCATATAGATATCATTGCAATACAATATATATTACACGCATACTTATTCAGGCAGACACACGCACACACACAGCGCCCCAATAACAATGTTTTTTTCTTACTCTTTTATTTGTACAGAACTGCAGCAGTCATAATTTTGTCCTTTTTAATGTGTTTATTAGGAATATTTAAAAGATCATTTACTCTTGCAGGTTCTGAATTATTTTTGTTATATTGTACAGTTGCATGGCTTGAAAAATGTCATCCAATTGTATGCCAGCAGCAATGGACTCTATGAAGTGGAAAGGTTCCCAATAATCAACCCAAAACTAATGTTAGCATATTTGAAGCAGAAAGATTACCACAAACCAACCTGCCAGTTTAATACATTTTAAATATATCCATGTTTTATTTAAGTGACATATTATGAGCAAAGTCATATTTTAACAAAAATTTTATATAAAGTATAATATAAACACAAGAGGAAATATCAGTAATTATTTCTTCCATTCCATTAAAAGTTACCTTCATGTTCTTTGCAGAACGTATGTACCTACTGAGGTAAGTTGAAAAGAAAAAGAGTGTTTGTCATCAGTTCTCAAACACGTAACATGAAGTAAGCTATTTTAAACTGATGATCAATTAATGAGAAGAAAACTGAGATCTTAAGGCTTTCAGTTAAAGCATAATGTATCATGCTTTTAGTAAATACAAGAAAAATATATTATACAAGCCAAATAGAATGTGCCGCTTGCAAATCTAGGTTCACAACTGTGTGCACCACAGGAGATACATATTCTGGAGGACTCCCATATATATACACTTTGGTTAACATGATTGCTCCCATGTAATCTGTGAAGGGGAGCTTGTTGGTCACATTTCTATTACAACTGTCAGTGTTGCGTATAGCACATATACCATTCTATTTTCACAAGGAAAAAAGAGAAAACAAAAAGCTACAAACCCACCTCCACTATGAGGTAAGACAGGCAAAAATGACTCAGCAAGAACAACCCAGGAGCAGCTATGCATTTGCTATACCCGAGCAAGTGACCCAAGGCAGCATTAAGCAGCTGGTCATTGCCTCCAATGGGAACCCAGGGGTGAACAATGAGCAGCATAACCAACTATTGATGCTTCCCCAGTCTTCTATGGGTAAACTATGTGGGGTGTAAGTTCATTTTCCTGCTATCCAATGCCCCTTAATATATCTCTATGGTCTTTCATTCTACAGTCTGCCAACTACTCTCCTGTACTCCTACAGTGCAGGCAATAGAAAAGACAGTCTTCTCACAATGTTTCACAGCTAGAAGAGGAATTAGCTGTGCACAGTATACATTATGCAGTGTTAACAAGATGGGCTGGGAAAGGAATTTCTTTCTTTCCTGAAAGGCCAAGATAGCACTGAATGTACTCAAGGTATAGACAGACCTGATCCAGGATTCCTATGACTTTAATCTCCTTAATTTATTCAAATAAAAGAAGCTGCAGGAAGGCTGAAAACAATTGGGAAGAGATAGCAGTTCCTTTAAAAAAAAACCTGCAGCAATCTTTCTGAAAAACCAAAGTTGCCCTCACTCACACCCACACAACACTTTCTAAAGAGTAACTTCAGGTGAGTAACTTCAAACAACAATACACACATGCATACACAGATATTTTCAAGTTTTCAGCTGGGAAATCTGATTGTGGAGTATCTGTCCTTAATTTCACTTTGCTCATTTTTCTGGAAGAATTGGTAAAACCCTGTCAAATCAACCATATAAGGCAAGAGTGAAATTTCACACTGAGCTAGTAAGTTGGAATATTGTGACATATATAGTCTAAAAATTTACTTTTCTGACTTGTCATGATGTATAAACATATTAAAACTCTTAGTAAACAACAAAATGCTTAATAATTTTAGAATTGTAAAAACCAAACTGAATTCAAAGTACAAATAGTAAGATTAGTTCCCAGCTTTAGATCAACCTAACAATTTGCTTGCACTTGAAATGTCTGCTTCTTCAGAGCCACAACTGCATAGCATCTGGGGGATTTTATGGGATCGAATAACTTTACCAGTCCAGACCAGGCAATGTTGTCCTGTAAAGTGATATTTGATCAGAGCACATCAAAAAGGCATTCAACCTGAAAGCTTAGAAATGGCTATATATATATTTCTAAAGAAAACAACTTAAACAATTTTTGTAACTAATATGCATACTCGGAAGAACAGTTAATCCTCCAATATCTTTTGCTGGCAGAATTGATCTTATTGACTACACTTTAAATGATGTGGCTTTCAAACAACATTATCTAATATTGTTCTTTACTATCTTCTTATAAATCTGCAACTCGCTCATGAAGAACTTCATTTCTTTTTTCTGCTTGTTTTTTTAGTTAGTTAACTAACTACTTGTGTAAGCCTGGAACATAAGAAGGCTGTAGTGTAGATAAGCTTGTTCTAGCTGCCACTAGGAAGAAAAAGGCGCAGGCAAAACACTTACTGTGCTGCTCCCCTTCACAACTGAAACAATGAGTGACATTAAAAGGAATAAACTTTATTATCTCTGAACACTGATCAGAGATAATAGGAGATTCTCTTCCCAGTCCCCTCCCCAAGCCCCTGGTAGCCTCCAGGAGGAGTGGAATCGATGGGACTGATAGGACAGAGACTGATAAAGCCAAAGCCTCTACAATTAAAATATCTGTTTATGCAATGCTGTTTCTTTATTACTGGTAATTTACCATGCAATTAAGAGAACATAAAAACACTTATTGCTGCAGTTTCCCCAAAGTAAAAGCATCTGTTGGGCCATGTTGCGAATGATAGATTGGACATTTAAAACTCCAGCAAATATGTGCAAACCATGGTTTGTTTCTTCTAATGTGGAAAAGGCACACTCCGCTGCTGTTTCAATAATTAAAGGATCCCGATATAGTTGATACATCTATTTCCTTAGGTTACACATAGTTAATTACCTGTTCTTTGAGGTAGGAGAGCCGATCCAAAAGTATTAGCACCTCTATGCAAGGTCCTAGGACAACTTTCAGCTGAAACAGTATTTTAGACACCAATTTAGCCACATTTAAAAAAAAAAACTTACTACTGAAAAAGAAATAAATGCTGCCTCTGCTTTCCCTGATGTAGCTTTAGTTTTGTTGTGCTGTTTCATCCTCCTGAAAATGCAAGAAACTTCTCTGAAAAGAGCAGTTAAAATATGTTTTGTATCATTAGTTTACGGCAGGGGTCTCAAACTCAGCTGGGGGCCGCTGGAAGTAGAGTCTGGGTGAGGCTGGGCTGCATCAAGTATTCCACCGCGGTGGTGGTGGGCTGCTCATTCCGTGTCGCTCCTGGAGGCCAGCCCGGGCGCCGCCGGTGCTTTGAAGGCCGCAGGGCCCCTCTCCCGTGCCCCACCTGTCCTGGCGCACAGCTTAGAGGGAACATTGCGCCCAGGGTAACGACTCACGCAGGTGCATGTGAGAAAAACGCGCGGGCTGCACTATCACTAAACTTTGATATCAAGTGAGGGCCACAAAATATCGTCCCACGGGCCGCAATTGGCCCATGGGCCGCGAGTTTGAGACCCCTGGTTTAAGAGGATTGTGATTTTCAGAGGGATTGGGCCAGGAGCTTTTCACTCCAGCTGGGAAGATGATATATTTGGTAAAACAGGACTTTTCCATGACCAACTGTTAGCCATTCAATATGCTCATGCAAATGTTATACAGATTATGGTGGTAATGTACATGTAATTAGCTACGATCCTTTGTCTCATGACAAATTTCTAACTGGCTCTTGGCAATGATCCTGTATCAACAAGCGGAAATTCTTCAATTCTTCTCATCAAAACAATTCATAAAAGTGGGCAATTTTCTTGAGAAAAACCAGTTTGAGTGCTACTTTGCCTATTCTGCTCTGTTGGACATCTTCAGAAAATTAGTGTAATAAAGATCAAAGTCAGTGGAATGTATTGGGCATGGCATCTATTACTTAGTGGCTTTGAGGTATAAGTCAGCACACAAAACACATTGCAAGTGGCAGGAATCTTGTTAAAAGGTGAACCAACAATGAAACGTATTAAAAAAGAATATACAGTGACCAATATGGATTTAAAAGGAGAACATTTTTCACATTTATTATACTTGAAAGAGAATCTCCCTATGTTCTTGTTATTTTATTGACACCCAATATAATTTTGGAAGGGAGTATGCTCTCAGTTAAAGGTCTTTTTTCCTTCCTATAGAGACTATATCATAATAGAAATGGATCCACCCCTGTGTTTCATAAAAACTTAATGCAACCCAACTGTGGCCTAGCATAATCATACAAAATAATTTCTCCAGTACTGTGAATTTACCATATTGAAAGCTTCCATCTCATTCATTCTATGCTTGTATTTTTCAAAATACTCTGTTATGAGCTTGTCTGAAATCTGCAATAAGATGAAAATTGATGATAATTAGAACCTACCTGAGGCAGATGCTAAAATTATATTCTCTAATCAACAATACTTCAACAGGAAAAAAATCATTTCACAATCAATATTTTTCTAACTTAATATAATAGTTTTCCAGTACTGATATTTCAGGTCCAACATACGAGTTTCTCTCCCACTCACTGAAGGTTATCACTACACTGTGAACTATGCATAACATATAAAAAGCTGAAAATTGCTCTACAGCTTCCATTCTGTATATAAGCAAGTCTGTCTGAATTCAGTGGGTCATAAATTCTGAGTTAAAATCTTCACTATCACACTGTAAGTCTAAAATTTCCTCCTGCATTGAAAATGGAGGTAACCTTCCTAAATCCTTCACATTCGGCATTATAAAAACATACATGCTTAATCTTTGAAAACAAGATGGCTTGCTTGGAAATATTTAGGCTCCTTGAATTGTAAGGCATTTTGGTTCGAGGCACAACTTTCTTCAAAGAAAGTAAAACATTTTGAAAGAGGAAAACTATTGAATATGAACACAAATTGTATTCTCTATTCTATGCATTCACAGGGAGTAACCACATTATCCCTCCTTCCCATATGAGCTCAGTGTTTCCAACATGACTGACGTATTGTGGGATATAACCAAGCAGGCAGCCACTTTACCATGTATGTAGCATAAGAAGCAGCCCTTAAGAGTCACAGCTAGTAGCCTGCATTCACATTCTGGTTCCAACTGAGTCCACAACTGCATTTTGTTACAGTATGCTAAAAGTATGCTTAAAACCATGTTGATGCCAATAAAACTTCAATGTAAAAGTGCACAGCTTTGACATGTAGGAAAATGAACTGAAGAAAAAATGAACAACTAATTCTGTAAACTGTAGGCATATGCTTTGGTCAATAGCTAAGCTTTCATGTTCTTGATTTTGTCAGGCATCTTGCATTGTGACCAAACAGAAGTGTTTCACAAACTGCATTTTGTGAAGGCTATTCCATATAGAAACACTGAGAGCTTGCCTCAATATCCACTAATACAGTAGCACATTTGATAACCTCAAGGCAAGTCTGGATCTAAAAGTCTCCTCCCTGAAGGAAAGGAATCTTGCAATTTGCAGGAAGGGATGCATAGGAAGCTTGTGCAAGTGGAGGTGGGGGTTCACCAATTCCGTTTCCTTGCAGATCCCTGTGCCTCTTCCCCACACTGTTCCACAGGCTCCCACAACCCTACAGGACATATTTGCAGACAACACCAAACAAAGAATGAAAGCCCTGGAGGAAGGGAAGGAGGCATGTGAGTTTTCGTGTTTCTGGTCCGAGTTCAAATCTTGGTTTTGTTGTACACTTGTGGCCCTCAAAACAAAGCTAAAAGAAAACAACTGAGAAAAACAAAAGGTTGATCTACTGGCCTTCAGTACATCAGGCAATGTGTAGTTAGGTTGTGGACTTGAAATTGTGCATTCCTTTCTTTCCCTTAGTTTGCACAACCAATTTTTCTACAAGCTAGAACTGCAAACCTGGTTTTTAATTTTGGTTGGGAAAGAAATCGGGTTGTGCATTCCATAATTCGCCTGAGGCAAACCAGGAGTGGAACAAGGGAATCAAAATAAAGAAGGGGTGCTTGAAGCCCAAGCTTGAAAGCCAAACCAAGGTTCATCTGTTATTAACTAGTCTGTGGGAAATCCAAGGAAGTGAAGTTTCCTTGCAACCCTAGATCTATTTTGGGGCATCTGAGGGAGACTCTCATATCCCTAAATTACTGTATCTTTAGAATGCAAAAAGAAGGTATATATTACATATCTTGATCATGGTCCTGCCATGCAAATGCTCAAATAAAGGGGCTATCTACTCACTGTGACAGTGATGAAATGTCTCTAATGAAATTCCATACTTACTTGACTCCAAATACTTATCTGCTACAGACTTGTTCCTTCTCCTCCAACACCTTGTTGATGCTGGGGATTTTCTGTTTGCTTATTTTAAAGTGAAGTCTGTAGATTGTCAGGTGATTCTTGCACATATTACAGCTGTTAAAACTCCTTGTCAGATTAAATTGAAACTTGGCTCTGGCATCACGCATATTGCATGTTCGTTTATATTTAAAGTATAGTGATCCTTGAAACACTGCATAAATATGCACGTTTTATGCAGCTATACCATTAGCCTTTAGTAATCCAATTTTGATGGCTGAGCTATATCCTTTCTACAACTGGGATGATAAATGTTCTTTCTGAAACACTCATTTCAATTTAACATTTAGATGACCTATTTACATGATAATTTGAGCTAATAAGATATGGGCAAACCAAACTCTTGAACAGCCACACCAAGGCTGTATATCTGCTTGAGAATAGGTTCCACTGAATGCAGAGACACTTACTTCTGGGTAAATATGCAAGACATTTTGCTGCTTGTGTTTAAAGCAGGTTTTATGAATGCCATCATTCAGCTCTACAAAGCTGTTCTTAGAAATGTGTGCAGAGTACTGCATGTCCTCTGACACAGAAATGTATGAGGCAGCTTCTGCTTGTACAAAGCTATTAGAGCAAAATAACTGCATACGCAGCTCTATGCATGCTCTAGGTGCAGTTTGTTACGTATGTGCCTAAGATTGCCATTTTCTGTATTCCTTTCTGTCTAAACAAGCATGCATTGCACCCTATAAAAGGTAATTGTTACTTCCAAGTGAGCAAAGAGAAAGAACCAGCAAATAAATCTTCCCAAATTCCTTGTCTTACTTAGTACTCCTTTTCCAGATTTGTAATTTAATGGCCCAAGAGCTTCTATAGAAAACCTGACATCTCCTCTGCTCTCACATAAAACAAGGATCTTGAAGTAGGAGGGCATCATTACAAGGAAGACTGTTCCTTGAGGGACAAACTAATATACTGTTGCGCCAGGGATAAACTTCCTTTCATTTATTTTATTAAACATATAAATTGTACCTTTCACCTATCTGGCACTCAAAACACAGAGATATTATTTATTTACATAGTACCATATATGTTCATGGCACTTTAGAAAGAACAGGAATTACATGCCCATATCCCAAGTGATCTATAATCTAAAATAGACAAAGAGAATCAGAGGAGTGGTGTGGAGGCAGGGGGAGGAAATAGAGACCACATGGTGAATTCAGATCAGGCAGAGAGATTTTCAGATATTTTACACTTCCAACTAACTCCCAGTGCTCCTGACCATTAAGCATACCAGCAGGGGCTTCTGCAAGATCTACCTTCTGCCCACCCTAATTCAGAACGCCTGGTAGTCAGCTGTTGTGGTGAAATGGAACGCTGGAAGCCAAATTTAGGTTACTAGGTAATAGACTGAAAACCACAGCTGTTCCTCTGAAATGCTCCCTGGTCCTGCAATGCTCCATGTTAGCTAGACAGATAAAACTAAGGGGTCTCAATGCATGGATGAGATGGTGCTACAGGCAGGGGGGATTAAATGTGCTGGGCATCAGGGAATGTATAAAGAGTATACGTTCCCCTTGAACAGAAACGGCACCAGACTACTGGTGCTTAACATCAAAAGCATTGGGGAGAAGTTTTAAACCTCCTCCAGGGAAATGCCAACAGGAGTTGGCAAGCAGTTATTTTGGGATGAATGAAAGTAAAAATGTTCAGAGACATCTGAATTGTGGCAGGAACAGAACTAGGCAATCAGCATCCTGTAGGGCATGATGCTGTAGGCAAAGACACATAGGGGAAAACATACGTGCCAGATGTCCTGAGTCACCGTCTTTCCCTTCCAACTTCTCTCCGTTTCCCTTACAGCTGTTCAAGAGAAGCTTCTAACTACAATCTTTTAATTTAGGTTAAAGCTGTCCAGCCAGGACTGGCTTTGTGAAAAAAAAAGAGAAATATGCAGTTTATCAGCAAGAGGCGTCTACCATATGAAGGAGTCCTCTAATTGTGGATGTTGATTCTGCCCATGCTAGAAGCTGATTCCAAACTGAATTCACATCCTTACTTTCCCACTAAATGGAACTTGCTTTACTAGTTACTTGTGGGTTAGACGCAGGAATGCAAGACATCGTTTTTTGGTCTGCTTGTTTGATATGGCATTGAAGCAGTATTCAATGATACTCTTCCCTTCATGGTCTCCCCATTGGACAGCATCTTTCCCCAAATCAGAGATGCTCTGGTTCTCACTCACTGCTTGGTTTAGCTTACAGCTCATTGGCCTTAGCTATTCAGCTAAGCCTTCCAATCCTGCCACTTCTTCCAGTTCAGATTCAATGTCTCAAGTATCCAACCTTGGAATGCTGTGGCGGGTCCGATCCTTGCACCAGACACCTCTGTAGAGAGTGTGTATGTTCTAATGCCAGAAGCCCCTGCAACAGGATGAGGGAATTGGAGTGTTTCATTTTGAAGGAGAGTATAGATATAGTGGGGATAATGGAAACCTGGTGGCCTGAAGAGAATAAGCGGGGAGAATCATCTCCGTATGTCAAAGAGGCCATAGAGTCAAACAAACTAGAAATCTCAAAAAAGGGTAGACCCTTTATAGATTCACTCTGGGCAGCAATACAAGGCTCCAAAAATAATTTAGTACTAGGAACATATTATTGCCCTCCTCAGTGGAAAAAGTTTGAGGTAATGGGTGCCTTCACTTACCCTCACATAATTATGTCTTAGAACTGGTCATGCAACTGACCAGAGGGAAGGTGACTCTGGACTTAATTCTAAGTGAGACCCTATGGTCTGATGAGAAACATAAATGCAGTCAAACTGACTGGAAACAGAAACCACAGTGCTAGAAATTGCAAAGGAAATCCAATACAGTCACATCTGACTTCAAAAGAGGAAGCTCTGTCAAAAATATGGAGATTGTTTAAAAAGTTGAAAGAGTCAAGAGGGTTAAAATTCCTCAGAAAGTTCAAAAGTATACCAAAATGGTTAACCAAACTAAAAGAATATATCAGAGGATCCTTTCAGAAAAGGTAATTTTTGTTTCAAATGAGAAGAAAAAGGAAATGCAAGCAAACAATAAAGAATACAGAAACAGAATTGGAGGCACATATTGCTAAAAATGTTAAGTCTATATTAAGTTTTTCTCTCTTCTATTTACTCAATTTCAGCAAAATTCCCACAAAATCCTTACTTGCCTATTATACCCTCCATTACTTTCGTATTTAACCATGTTGGCATTTTTTGGGCATGTTATACCATTTATCATTTGTGTTATAAGTTCTATTTTAAGCCTTGATTATGGTGTTTTGAAGTAGCCTCTTAACTGCGCCTTTCAGTTTCTGTTCTTTTTTCTTTACTAATCTTCTCATTTTTAATTAACTCCCCCTAATGAAATTAAATTGGCTTTAACCCAAGTTTCTTAGTCTGAACTGATCTGTACATCACAGAAATTGTATTTTTCTCCAAGTAAAAGTAAAGTAAACTGATTAAAACAATCACTCTTGCAGATTTTCTTTAGAAATATAAGCTTGTTAAAAGAAAATGCCAGTACTAACAAACATATATTATATCCAATATATGCAGCAATAAGTTCCAGATGATGTAAAAAAGGCAAGGAAATAAAAATGCATTTCACTCAACAGAATTATCAGTGAGTCTTCCCACAGCACCACATATGAAAAATCAACTTTAATTGTATTTCTCAGAAATAAAATGTTCTGGAGAATGTCAAAGGTACACAATCAATTTAACTGACAAATCCAAGTGTGCTAATACAAAAAGTCTCAGTCTCTCTCTCTCTCTCTCTCTCTCTCTCTCTCTCTCTCTCTCACTCACACACACACACACACACACACACACACACACACACAGAGCAGCTAAGGAACTTGTGCAGTACAAGCCTATGCATGTCCATTCAGACATGTCCCACTAATTTCAATGGAGCTTCCTACCCACCAAATGTGTTTAAGACCACGGCCTCCATTTCTTTATGAGCAGAGGCATTTTGGTCTACCAAATAAAGCAAATTATGGTAGAATTACTACTGTATATATACAGCCTTATATATTTAAAACAAAAACAAAAGTATTTCCAAGTTCTAGGGTTTCCTTCCACTTGAAAGTGAATGTTAATCTGTTCTGTTTAACAAAAGACAAACATTTCTCCATACTGCCAAATACGAGATCAGATCACCACATACAATTAAAATATTCCATACAATGTTTACTCTTGCTTAGACATATATTCTTTTATATAGGATAAGAAGTTATTTTCTGCAGGATAGTTGAATATTTAAAGCTGTTTAAATAATTCTTAACAGAAATGTGTGTTTTCTATAGGCTACATTGCCCCCAAGCTTATAGGAACTTAATGAAAGATTCTAATACTGCTCAATCAGGCTCTCAGTCAATCTAGCGAAGCATCCCATTTTCAAAAGTGCCAACTGTTTTTGAAAAGCCCACAGAAATGCAGCTTGTTTTTGCACCTCAGCACCTGGTAATTAGGAGGCACATAACTGCTGAATGTCTCGGTGACATTTAACTGTCATGGCTAATAACATGTACTTAACATTATAATGTTCACAGTTCACACTGCAACAACTTTCAACATCACTAAAATATCACCTAAATGAAAAAGCTTTTTAAAAAACCATTTAGATATAATTATCTTCAGGCGCCCATGGGCAAGACACAAACCTAATATTGGGGGGAAAAACAGAATAATCAAAAAGGAAGTAGAGAACAGGGGAGGTTTTCTTGCTATAGGTCCTAACTAGAAACTTGGTCTGTATATGATAGTCCAGACCCATCTTTACATACACTCTTCACTCAAAAAAGCATCTTGAAATCACCACATGGGGGTGTCTCCCTAGCGCTGCAATAACAGCATCAACGGCTACTGTTCCTTCAGTAGAAAGACCAAAGTTGCTTGCCCAGTGAGACAGGGGATAAAGAGTCCCTCCCTGTCTCCCAGCAGAGGGAGGCTCTGTCTGCATGGCCTACTACTTCAATCTATATTTATTCTACTCAGGCTTAAAATATACATTTTTTAATAAAATATACCCACAACAATTTATGCAATAGCAATCAGATTAATGACTTTGCATTGAAGACACCAAGTCTATCAAGGCTCTTTTTAGGCAAGAAACTCAGCCCAAATTAATTTGGGTTTTATACAGACTGCTGCAGTTCAGTTTATGATTGCTGTTTTGCATACACCCTTTTCAAGGAATCGTATGCCTTGGGCACTGGAGCATATTCATGTTTCTACAAAACGTATCTACTAAATCCCGCTTCCCCTTACTAGATTACAAAATCTCCTCTTTGAAGGTCAACCTTCTTCAAATCTGATCAGGCAGGCTCTAGATCCAACTGAAACACTGCAATATTCCAAAGAGCAGCAAAACTCAGCTGTTACAAAGAATCAAATGTTTGTAGAACTGATCTTTTATTAATACCCACAGGTGAACTTAAGGTATTCTGCCCTATGCTTCTGCCTTCCATTTTATATTTTACCATACCAATATCTACCAAGTAACCACTGAAAAAGAAGACTGGGATGTCTTTGTTCCTAATTTCAAAGGATGTATTTTATTTTGAAGACTTTCACTTTATAAATTACACACAAAGCTCCTGGGAATATGACAAGCACAGAATTCATATCCAATATCTGTAACAATGCTTAATATTTACATTTAAGAGTTGGGGCACTGTATGAATGTGCAGGAATCAGCAATACTCTAAAGATCATCTGCCACACTTCCCAGCACACTGTCGCTTGCACAGTAGACTCAGATAATTCTTCATTGCTGGAGGGGATCAGCAAGCAGGCCTGGTCTTGCCCTGGATGCTCATGAGGCGACCCTTTCCTGGGGAAGGTGGGGGAGCAGGAGCCTCATGAGGTAGGGAGGTGTTCGAGGGACCAAGAGTCAGCAGCACCCTCAGTATCATCTGCAATGGTCACTGCCCTGATATCCCTTAACTAGAACTTCTTTACAGTAAAGTAATTAATTATAAGAGTGGAAGAATATCACCCTGATACTTACCTTTGATTCATCAAGGCCAAGCTTTTTTAAAGATTTTCGAACATAATCCATGAAGGAAGTTGATTTAGAAAACACTTTCCCAATATTACAATCACTGAAATGATAAAATGAGATTTTTTTGGGTTCTTGTTATATTAAAAGGCCAATATATATTATCTCCACAAAGGGTAGGTTGCCTACTTGAAACTGTCATTTTCAGGTGGTCATCTGTGCTACAACACATTCTGTTTTTGTGCCCGCACAGAGCCCTGTGTGTAACATTTCAGCACTGAGAGTTTTGGCACGAGGCCAACCCCTACTTTCGCTGGTGTGTGTGCCCTAAAGGCTGTGATTCTCTCACAGTTTCTAGACCTACACAGTGGTGGTGGAACAGCTGTAGGCAGTGAAAACAACCCAAGATATATGGAGCAGGGAGGGTTGTGACAAATGGGTTGTGACTACTTGAAGGACTACAGTTACAGGTAAGCAACTTTTTTCTTCTCTCTGATCTTGGTGGTATGGATGCATATAGGTGAATATCAAGCTAATTTACCAGAATTGGGACAGGTGTGCTAGCCAGGAGAAAAAAGCTGGAGGAGGAGGGCAAATCAATGTTGCCACAGTCAGCACAGAATTATCAGGATGCAGCCTCATCTTATAGGTCTTGGCAGTAGCCACTGTGATCTAACCTGAGAAGCAGGGGGCCATTGTGACAGGGATAGGTATGGAGGTAAAACTTCATGTAAGGAAAGTTGGGGGAGCACTTGTTCCTTTGAAATGAAGACCCAATATGTTGGATGAACAATGGATGGTCCAACAGTTGCTGCATTCTGTCAGAATCACAATAGTTCAGCAATGGTGGAGTTGTGGGAAGGGTCACCATCAGTGTCAACAAGGTTCAGTTAATGGACATGACCAGCACTGGCAAGGGAGGTACTGAGACAGGTACCGAGGGATCATGCAATAACTCTTTGGCCTTCTTCCTTAGCTTGGCAGATGGAAAAGGAAGTGTACTTGCTGAACCCTAAGTAAATTAAACAGCAGGGGTATTCTCATAAGGTACGTTAGGTATGCATAACCGAATGTGCAGATGCCTGTTCACTTACTCACTAACCTAATCAAGCTGCCCAAAGTACCTACTGAATTGAGGAATCCAGAACTCCACTGAGAGAAAATAAGCAGGGTGCTAGGGGAATACCCAGGTTTAGCCTTTCCCCCAGTTCTCCACTGCAGATTGCCACAGCATCTTTGAACTTAGGAAAAGGCCATGGACTAATTTTCCCAGGAAAGAAAGAGTCTGTCTCTCTCTTCACTGTAGGGATATTATAGAAAAGGGAAAAGTATATGGAAAAGGCCAAGTGTAGCAAAGGAGCAAATGTCTTTTTGCTTCTATCTCTTCCCTGATCCCCACCAACTTGAAATCGCTTCCATTTGTGCCACCTGTAGCTCAAATTTGCCTTACTGCAATTAGGCCTCCGGGATGCCCTGTAGTTTTACAAGTTGCCTCTCACATCCTTACTGTTCCCCAAATGAAGTACTGGTCACAAATGAATATTTTTTGTCTAACTGTCTCAAAGCTGCATGTTTATCAACTTTTCCATAAATAATATTTGGTATAAGCCATTTATGTATTTATGTATTTTAATTAATTTATTTGTAAGCCTCCCCGAGGCTTCGGCGAATGGGGTGGCCTAGAAATTTTCTCAATAAATAAATAAATAAATAAATAAATAAACAAACAAACAAGCAAGCAAGCAAGCAAGCAAGCAAGCAAGCAAGCAAGCCCCAATTTATTCTGCTGCTAATCTAGAAGAGTACAGTTTAACCTGTGCTGTACCATGTCCATAGGTTCAAAAAATTTTAAACATTGTATTGGTCAAGTACATTGGTCAAATACATGTGTACAGGTTATGTAAATGTGTGATTGAGGAACAGGTAACAATTTACAATTAATCACAAGCTAAACAGAAGTCAAAGAGGAACTACTTCAAAAATGATTTTTTTTCATATTAAACTCCTAAGCAACCAATATCACATCATAAACAATTTAGTTACATTAAAAGCAACTCAGAATAAGTTTATAATATATGCAATGGAAAAATCTGTTTAAAGGACAGAACAGTCATTTCTTAATAAAGAAATATGCCATATGCTAGATGGAAAACAAAAGAAATATTAGTGATATATAAAGCTGACAAATTATATGTAACAAACAGTCAGAATTGGAAATATGCAGACTGGTTGTGTCTAAATTCTTTGCATTTTGAGAATAAGTGCTTTAACTATGCCAACTCATATTCTAAAACAGATTAGTTATCCAATTTAAATCCTTTCCAATTTATTATGTATGGCTTTCTCATAAATTATTATATGCACACACTCTTATAAAGGAGTTCTGCTAGAAAATGCCTGAAAATCTATTTGACATTAAGGAATTGCATCAAATATCCTTGAACTATATAAAAGATCTCTTCCTTCCCCACTTCACCAAAAATTAAAATCAAATAAATTGGAAAAGCTACATTCTTGCAAATTAAGAAGAGTGATAATGGGACTGTAACATGCAGCCCACACATTCTTTGTTTCATGTAGATTACACACACAGGAGTGTGTCTGCTTATGGTTCAAAACAGACTTTTTCCAGCTGAAAGTGTCTGAGACAGACACAAGACTACCTATGTGATGTAAACCATCCTGAGAGTTGTTTGACTAAAGGAACAGCATAAAAATGTTTTAAATAAATTAATATGTTCAAAGCCTATCTTGGCTATTACTAGTGTTGAAATGTCACATACTCTCAAACCCAATTCTTAGTTTGTAATGATAATGACCTACCTCACAACATAGATGAACAATGAGTTTTAAGAATTTACTACAATGCAAGTGGTGAATTATTACTAACAGCTCACAGTAGGTATTATCCATTGTTCCACTATTTTTTACTTGCTTTTCAGGCTATCTAATTTTGAGATGGAAGATCTAGCTCTGCCAAACTTCTTTCAGAAAAGACACTACATAACTCATTAGTTCCTTCTCACCAATGAACTTAATGAAAGGAAAATTTAGGGCACGGTTCTATGGACTGCACCCTCGATGCTCATAAGCCCCTGAACTTGGAGATGTATGAGCATTCTATATAGGGCAGGAGAAGCAGTGGGAATACCCCTGTCCTTATGCCCTACATTCTCACTAGATAAGACTTTCTTGTATTTCGGAGCAAGAGGGAAGGAGGCTGGAAAGGCCGCAGGAAATTTTGGTCTCTTCAGCCTTCTCTCCCCGCTGAAAAACACCATCTTTTACCCTTTCCCAAGGTTGCATTTCTGAGCTCAGTGATGCAGCTAACATAGTTCTTTTCACACCAGCAACAAAGGGGAGGGGAAGGAAGTCGGAATCTGAAATATCCTAAGGCCCCTCAGATGCTGTATAGGGACCACAAGGGTAAACTTGCTTGGAATAAACAGAGTAATAGACCTGTGATTAAGCAGATATTACTAGTATAATAAAAGTTCTCAGGTTTCATTGATAACTTGAATACAAGGAAGCAAATGTGTCTTTCCTTAATATGTCAAATTAAGCATAGTACCTTCTCGTGACTCCATAAAATTCTTCTACAATAACCTGTAAGACAGCTCGATAAAACAATGATTCAGTAGGCAGCTGCAAAAAATCAAAGAACAGCAAAAGTTAAGTTCAAACCAGGCACCACAAGTAGAAGAGTGAACATAGCTGGCTGCATTTAACTAATTACTGGTTTATGTTCATTCCACCTACAGTTACTAGCAATTCTCTTGTTTCCAAATTAAAGTGTTGTTCTTTAGAAATATAATGATGTAACCATAATTGTTGGGAAAAATAAACACAGGAAATAGCAAACACTGAGTGAAACTGGGAAGAAGACTAGAGGAAAGAGAGAAGCCCATAGGCCAAATTATCCTATTTGTTATATTGGCTTTACTGCAGAAATGTACCCATTTAGTTTTAATCTATTTCTCTAAAGTCAGAGGGAAAACATTTTGCAAGTATTAAATGTGCTCTTTTCCTCCCTAATAACTTCTTGTTCTTTCCCTGATGTATACAGAAAGCACTATGATTCTAAAAACAGTACAATGTGTTGAAGAACTTCATACCTTGAAGAATGAGCAATGTGTTTACATAAGAAAAGGTAAGCCTTGCCCCTCTTTAAAATGCTGGGCCAAATTCATCCCCTGTGTAAATTCCACTGAGGTCAATGGGCTTGCAGCAGGGACACATTCGACTGTAAATCTGGTGTGCTGAGCAGTCATACAGCTTGTGTACATATACCAAAAGGGATGATAAATGGAACAGTAATGATTTAAAGTATCCACAGAAAGAATTTAGATGGGGATTTAAAAACAAAGAGTATTGAGAGTTCTGCCAAAACCAAGCCTTTGCAATAAATCAAAGCAAATCCCTCCAATATTTTCTCATTTTTATATCTTCAGCTGTGTAAGGCTAATATTGAGAAGAAAATCACTGATCATTCATTGGCCCGGTTAGGAAACCATTTGAATTTGACCAGAGTTTTCGGTTAAATGTCAGAAAATTAATTGCATGATGTACAATCTGGCCTTAAGTTATTCCAATATTAGTTCATATACTGTGAAATAAAATTTAAGTAACAAATAATTCTTATGGAAAGATCTGAACTTGAAGCAATACATTATAATAGGAAAATATAGGCAGCTACCCAACCATAAAAACTGAAAGGAGAGAGGTGTGCTAGAGTTCATAAACTTTGTATTTTGTCTACATTACTGAAGAATATGTAAGATTCTAAAAGAAAAATACATACCATCTTTGTGAGATGCCCAACTAAAGAAGAAAATTCACTAGGGTTTATTCACAGCAGTCATCTCCACTAACTTGTGAGCACAAATGACCAGTTTACCTTGCTAAAACTACTCCCTCCCTTAAGCTGTGCTTATGTATACCCCACCATGGGGAGAAATGTTGCACAGATGGGTGTTTACAACTTTTCCAAGAAGTTTCAGTGAGAGAGGTGGCTACAGAGGGAACAACTTTCAGACTAAGGGTCAAATTCAGTTTTAGAGTAGCTCTCTGGGAACACATTACAGTGGTGGGAGGGGCCACAGCCAAAGGGGTGGAGCCAAAAATACACACCTCACATACACTCTTCCCAGCTTAAAGCTCTTACTGCCAGTAAATAAGCCTTAAGAGAGGCAATTCAACCTTTTCGAAAGAGAAAAACTGCACACAAGCTGGGAAACTACCAAACTATCGTTGGGTGAGAGAAAAGGGTTGCGGACAGTAAATGAGATGCTGCCCTCTGGGGACCTGAGGATCCTCAGTTCTACAAGTAGTACGAATAGCCTTGTCAGTGCTACTCCTTATTAGTATGTAGCAGATCTGTTGAAGACTCTGCACTGGTTGGCCATGTTGCCACCAGGACAGGCTTAACGTTCTGCTAGCAGTCTACAAAGCCTTGATCAACTTGAGACACTTGAGAACATGTCTTCCCCCTTATCATCCTGTCCAATCACTGAGGTCTTCTGGACAGAGGTTCATCCAGAAATCACCACACTAAGACATTTAGTGCATCATTTCCAATCCTACAGACACCTTTGCAACTAAGATCAGGCATGCATTATTCTGTTGAATTTTTTTGAACATGCATTTCCCGACCCATGATTAAACTCAAGCTTCTATTTTACCAATGTTTTCATGTAATTTATTAACTTATTTGTATTTGGTATGGTTTAATGCTTCAAATATTTGACATGGAGATGCTCATAAATCCTATAATGAATAATTTTGCACTTTCTCCATGTGGTCATGTACCCATGTAAAGTGGAAGAGCTCTGCTGTGTTACCAAACTGGACTTGATAACTTGGTTCGTTAGGTATCATTACTGCTCCTCAGTAATGAACTGAGTCGCTAAACATACTTCATGGAGTATCTATCTTCCCTATCAGATTTCTATATTTTCTGAAATATATTCTATATTTTCTGAACACTTATGAGATATGTAAAAGTATAATATGGATGCCACTGATGCACACAAGATATGGGTTCAGAAAGAACTCCTTTGTTTGCAACCATGAGCAAACAAGATGGCCACAAATGCAGGGACTGCCAACAGGGTATCACCAGGTGCAAGTCTAATCCAAATGAACTCTTGGAAAGTGAGGACTGCACAGAGAATGGGTTATGTATTTTTGTTGGGGAAGAAAAACTTTGATTTTCAAAGGGAAAATTTAACTACCTGTTTTCACTAACTCATCTTTAAACTCAGAAAAGTTTTATTTTAAATTTGCATGAGGCAGCACTAAAGAAACCAGTTTACAATAAGACTTTAATCCTCTACCAAGTTATTCAGTAGTCCTGAAGAATTTCCCTTGTCTTCAAATGAGACTGCTACAATGAGGTAAGCTGATAAAAGACTAAACTGCAAGACATTTAGAGTACTTTTAATGAATGTTCTTTCTATTTCAGTCACTCTTATTTAACTGAAGAAAATTATGTTTTATCATCACTCCATGAAAACCAGGAAATAAAACTGCAATTTCATGGTGCTGATGCAGAATATCAATCTGCCTCGAATTCAGGTTTTGTTGTTTGCTATCTCTTCGATTCCAGCAAACTACAAGTTCAGCACTAGGTCATCTTCAAAGAGAGAAAATGTCATTAAGGGTTAAATACACAGCATTACTCACCACTTGGCCAACTGCAACTCGTTCCAGAGCCTTTAAAGGGAAAGGTGGGGTGGAGGGAGGGAAATAGCTTGTTTATTCTTTTATCTGAACATTTTGTAGGTAGATATCATAGAAGAAGAGTAAATTTTTAACAGAGTATGTTATATGAAGCAGGCTGTTGGCTGAAAAGTATATCATCACTATATGCTATTTAAAAGTGTAATCTAAGATTCATATATTAGAATTACATGTATACATATTCTTGTACAAACAGCTGAGACAATACTAGACTGAACCCTTAATATTTCTTTCTGAATGGGATGAACTATTCATCTTTTTTGTCTTTAGTGAGCTTACTCATTCATTTTCAGCAAAATATATAGTTGAAAATGTATGGTCTTAAAAAAGGTGGATTCTTAGTTATATCCAGAAACCATGAAAATGAAGAAACTAATAAAACTAGCAGTGGGATACACATTCATTTCTACAGCCAACCCCCTCATATCTCCTCATTAATGCATCATCTAAATAAAATAACATGTTAGCATATAATCTTAATAAAAACATGAACCCAGGGGTGTCTCCCCATCCCTCCAGCATATAATTTAGCACTACATTTGACATTTCTTTTTTCCCATCCATGCTGTATCACTGTGTTTACTCTGAATTACAAACACTCATTCAAAATGTATATACATTCCTTTCCTATACCCTAAAACTAAACCTTTCTTACTTTTCAGTACTGTAGAGCTACCTGACTTCTTCCTTGGGTCAAAAGTCAGTCTGTTCCTAGATCCTCTTTACTATTTTCTATACCTGTCTCTCTTATGACAAATGGATACTTAATTAACAATTGTTCAAAAGGTTTTACATTAAAAAAGGATCAGGTGTGTGTGTGTGGGGGGGGTGTTAAACTGGATTGAAAACCTGAAGGTAAGTGTAGGGCTTTAACCTCCTGTATGCTGCTCCAGTCCCAAACTTGATTTGGAATTACTTTCTCCCAATGTAAATATATCAGATGCAAGAGACCTGATCTGAACAGCAGCAGGAGGCAAAGGGTTAAGTTCCTCTACTTCCCTACTTGCATCCTCTCCCTTCACCAATTTGATCCTTTAAAAATATTTACAAAAGTGCCAAATGCACGAACATCAAGACTACCTCTTAGCTTATTAGCTTTAAGCCCAGGGTCATGTTATGTGCTTTTTCCTCCCCCAGGACAAAAACCAATTAATAATAATAAATGATATAAACAACAACATGGCTGACTGCTAAACCTTTATTCCAGTTGTCATTTCTTTTTCTTTGTAGCAACTTAACTACTGACAATTTCATGAGATGTGAAGACTCCAAAAATATCTTCATCTCTCTGTAAAAGATATGTACATGCATACATGGCACCTCTGTGGCTATGATACATACTCACATACATTTTTTATCCTGAAAGCCCTCCTATCACAAATGCACATCACTTACATCAATTACTCCCTGATTAGCCCATCTACTATACCTTGGGGAGGGGTTTGGGGGGGAAGAAGTTTAAAAGCTTTTTTTTTTTGGTTTTTGCTTTTCTTTTCCTACTACAACTCAACTGAGAATTATACATTCAGAAATATTAAGTGAGAACTGTGGGGCTACGAATGTATATTCTACATATATTAGAAGCAACTTGGGGTTTATTTTGGAATGGTGTTCATCTGCAAAGCTTGACTAGCAAGCTGGAAAACATTACTACCATACAGCTATAATATTGTTCCACTCAAGTACTGTGCAATTTTCAGTTACTGTGTTTAATATTCAGGGGTGAGCCAGTTTATTATTTCTGAAATTCATTTCATTAAGACGTAGCAAAGTGTAAGAAGTCTGTGCTGAAGCATAAAAAAAACTGTTATGCAAATAAGGAAACTCCTAGTATACCCACCAACTGGAAAACAGGGAACCATGCCTTATTGCTAATGCGTCCTTTTTTTGGGAACAAACTGATCAACAGCAACATCTTGCTGGACATGTTCTTATGACCTGTCATTGCAATAATGGCAGCATCTACTTTAGTGCAGGGAAAAGTATTAACTGATATCTTTCTACTGAAATGAACAAGAAATAGGAAAACATATCATGCAAAGAAGCATTTGTTTTCAGCTGAAGCTTTCTATGGCTTTTGTCAAGTGCTGACACCAGCTAGAAGCTTTCCTCTTTACAAAAACTGATTGACCAAAATCTTCTTTCCTGCCATCTCACCTCCAAAGTAAACCACTTAAAGTCCTTGAACAACAGCTTGGGCCTTCTGTACCCATCATTTAATGCAGGAAAAAAAAAAATGTTATTTCAAAGTCACACCATAAGCAAGGCCCAAAACTGGCTATGTAACAAACAGGTGTGGAAAGTATAGAAAAGTAGAGAACTGTAGCACAGAATCATACTCAAAGGACAAAATAGCTTTTATTTGCTTCCTGCACACATATTACAGTATATTCATGCCATGTTCTAATAACCTACAGGTAAACCCACCTAATTCTGATTGTACTACATCAAAAGCAAGGAGAATATTAGATATCTCATGGCAGATGTGAATCACTCATATACGAGAGGCAGAATGAGGACAAACAGAGAAGAGAATGTTGAACTTTTTAACAAGAAAGAACAAAGTAAAAATGCTACTGGAGGTCCAACACAAAGTGTTACCAATGTTGTAGCAGACACTGATACAGTAGCAAAGAAAAGGTGGGGTTTGAATATGGATTTCTACCACTTTCTCCTCTGTTCCCAGCCCTCCTCAGACTTAGCACAGAATCTGACACTGCCAGAGTTTTTCATTCTCCACAAAGTCAGGTTAACATATTTGTTCCAATAGTAGTTTCCAAATATGTTGAAATGCCAAACTGTGAGTAGTATGGAAAAGGACAGAGGAAAAACTTTGGATGAGAAACTGGATAGATGAGAAAATTCCCCTGTCCCAAGCCCCCTCCTAATACATCTTGGTTATTCTAAGAGGCTGCCTGAACACCTGGAAAGTATGGCCTTGAGATAAATGCCTCCACCTCTCTCATTTCAATGTCTGGAACTGCCACCCATTCCGAGGCCTCCACTTGCTCTTGTTCCTCCTCCTCCTCCTCCGAGTCCCAGTCAGCAGGCCTTGAGAATGTGCACCAAAAGCAACCAAACAGAAAATAATGACAAGTACATATGGAAGAAGATGCAGAAGACATCCACATGCCTGCTTCAAGGAAGATAAAAGGTAGTCTAACTCAAAATCTTTCTTTTCCTTTCCTTAAAAACAAAACAAAACAAAACTAATGTTTGAGGAGATCTTAACAAATGTCTGAACTGCATAAGCCAATTTTTATCTGCAATCTCCATGTCTGTCCCAAGACATAGTTTGCTTGAATCCATGTAGTGCTTGGAAGGAGCCTAAATTGCAGGAAGGAGGAATATTTGCTATGGCAATACTTCCATAATCTGCTGCACAGGTAGCGACCTGTCTGTAGTGGCCACTGGAACATTAACTTCAGCCATAACTACTTATATAACTAAATGCACACTAGTGTAAAAATGCCTGGCCATCTGTAAAGAAATATAGCAGCATCCATGTAGATATAGCCATGTTGTTTACATTTATCCATTATGCATAGGTGTCATGGCTTGGTAGGCATCCACTGAACACAATATCCAAAAAACCATGTAGGACAATGTGATGGAAGGCTAAAAAGTCTGTCTATTGAAGTAAATGGTGGCGGGAGACACAAACTCTGTCTGAAGAAATTATGCAAGTTGAGACAGAATGAACAAGTCAAAGGGGCAAAGATAGATACAAAGGAGGATAAGACATGGATTAAATAAGCATTGGTTAAAAGGAAAGATGTGTATTTCAAGATTGGGATAGTGTTGCAACCAGGGGCAGTGGAGCAGTTCTAATACTCTGATTCAGTTAACAGTGTTTAGATTCTGTTAGGCTATTTTGATTCATAGCTAGTATCAGTGAAAATGTAACAAATCTCACACATTTTAGTCTAACTTGGAACAGGATTGAAAAGCCAGCACATTGGTCACCCATGGCAAATGCCTTTAGAAATCTGAATGGATGGTATGTCATCTTATGTCATGACAATGTTTGTTGGAAATGAAAACAGATATATTTAAAGATACTCTGTTAAAAGAGTTAAACATCTGTTCTGATTTTGCAGCTAGGCAAGCCATTTCATTCGCTGTACACAGATTATGAAATTTAGGAAGTACTGTCAAAATCGGTGACAGTATCGGGCTGCCATGACCTTTTCTTCCTTAAGACAACTGCCAAGGCTTTCTGTTCTAGGTATTTTCTCATTTGAGGACAACACAATATACTTGTGATTAGATTTTCCCCTGTGTCCATAGTTTTCTACTTGAAGCAGGGATAAAATGTTTATAGCTGGAGAGTTAAATAATTTTAAAAATCTTTATAATACATCATAGTTAGCATTAATAATACCACTTAACATAGTTTGGGATTTAAGACACAGCTCTAGGTTTGAAAGTGAAATACTAAGGAAAAAAGCAAACTGTACCAAACAGGCTGCCATTCTGGCATTGCGACCACAGAACCAGTCCTCCTCCTTTAAATACTGGCACATGGGGAAACCCCATGTTTCCTGAATCCCACCTGCAAAAGAAAGAGAAACAATGCATTTGATTTTTTTAACTCAATGACCGGGAACACATTAAAGTATTATAAAACATATTAAACTTAGCAGCATTTCAACAACAGAAAAAGCAGTATGAAAAATATACATTGCTTGATAAATGGCCTGCATCTAAAAAAAGAGACACCCCCCCCCCAAATTAGCAACTATTGCAATTTTAAATTAAATACCTTGTGTAATGGGGTTTTTATTAAAAAATGGATACACCATTGACATTGTTCCACATAAACAATGTGGAAAGAGGTTGCTGCAAGCAAGCACAGTGGCTCTTGTTTAAAAGCTGGGGTGATTTCAATTTCTCATTATGCTAATAGCCTGAGCCCAAAATTTTTGGCAGCAAGTAGGTTCCTCTTGTAGGGAAGAACCATGCTATAAGGGAACAATCCTAATAGAATAATGTTCACATGAACGATCGTATTTTCATCTTCAAGCACCAGTCTGCATCAAAACCATTGTTGTTATTCTGGTAAGGCTCACCCTGGCACTTCCCTGGGCTGTGATAAAAATCCTTTCCCTACCTTATCACCTCACAGTTCTTCATCAAACCCACCATCATACAATATAGACACTGTAAAGGAACAAGGAGCAAGCTAGGCTATATAATTCATGAACTGTATGATAAAGTGGACTCTCCCTTCTTACTTGTCTCCCGGGCTTTTTTCCTTTTAAAGAACTCAAGTGGCTTATATCGTTCTCCTACATCTGCATATATACGGCGGCATGATACTCTACTATTCTAGCTTCCTGTATGGATACGTTTCTAGGGGAGAAATCACTAAAAAGGAATATCTCTTAATTATCAACGCACTTAAAATGTAATAAACATTTAAGAAGCAAGCACTATCTTTATTATTTCCTTCACAAACAAGAGGGGATACTGAATTTGTGTGTGTGTGTATAAAATTATAGGGAATATAGTATATTACAGTAGCTATATTGTAATGTACTATACCAGTGATGATGAACCTTTTAGAAACCAAGTGCACAAACTGCTACCAAAAACCCACTTATTTATTGCAAAATGCCAACAATACAACCTGCAAACTGAGGTTTTAGTTTAGAAAAAACATCTCACAGCCAGTCCGAGCAGACCGGCAATGCAAAAGTTCGGATGAGTCATAGCTAATGAGACGTGGCCGTGACATCATCACCTGGCGCTGCTACTCCTTTCTGAGCATGCACATGGCCCCTCTGTATGCTGTTATCCAATGCTCGGATGCTGGGGCAAATTGACTCCCATGCTGACGGAGGGGGCTCTGCATGCCCACTGTGGCACACGTGCCATTGGTTCCCCACCACTGGCATAATCCTACCCTGGTCCACTCCCCTAACACTAATATAGGAGTAAAATACCATTGAAAGGGGCAATTTTGAAAAAGCCTTCATTGAGAAGCTTTTTCTGCACAGCTCAGCTCAACATTTCTGCCCATTCTAAACAGATTGCAACCATCAAAACCATGCCAGGACACCTGTTTTCCTAACCCTAATATAAGGGTAAAATACCACTGAAAAGAGGGCAATTTCGCAAAAGCCTTCCTTGAGTAGCTTTCTCCGCACAGCTCAACATTTCTGCACATTCTAAACACATTCCAACCATCAAAATCATGCCAGGACACCTCGTTTTTCCAACCCTAACCCAGTGATGGTGAACCTTTTAGAGACCAAGTGCCCAAACTGCAACCCAAAACCCACTTATTTATCGCAAAGTGACAACACTGCAATAAAACCTGAAAACTGAGGGTTTATTTATTTAAAACATTTTTATGCCACCCCCATCGCAACAAAGCCTCGGAGCGGCTCACAACAAGAACAAATGTAACAAATTGTACAATAAAAATATTAAAACCCGGTGCATCTCGGCTTAAAAGATTTAAAATCCTATAAATAACCAATAAATTAACTATTAAAATAAGTTTTAAATAAAAAGGTCTTAGCCTGGCACCAAAAAACAAGTAACGACAGTGCCAGGCAGACCTCTCTGGAGACCGCATACCATAGATGGGGCGCCACCACAGAGAAAGCCCTCCTCCAGGTACTCACCCTGCTAATATTCACAGAGGGTTCCCGGAGAAGGGCATCTGTTGCTGATCTCAAGGGGCGGGAGGGCATATATGGACGCAAGCGTTCCTTTAGATACCCAGGACCCAAGCTGTTGAGGGCTTTATAGGTCATAACCAACACCTTGAATTGGGCCCAGACTTTAGAAAACACAACCCACAGCCAGTCCAAGCAAATATATCTCCTTGGTACTGCATTGACCGGCCATGCAAAAGCTTGGATGAGTCATGACTAATGAGTTGCAGCTTGTGTCATCATTGCCTGGCACTGCTACTCCTTTCCAGGCATGCGCATGGCCCCTATGTGTGCCGTTATCCGATGCTCGGCTGCTGGGCGATGCTGGGGCGACTTGGCTCTGCGTGCCCACTGAGGCACGTGTGCCATAGGTTTGCCACCACTGTATTATACAATATAGCACCACAGATAAAATGGCTTCAGAAAAACAAGTTTAAGTCCCATCAATTCATGGAAGATCCAGATTAAAGTCATGAAATTGAATGGAAGAGTGGCACTTCCAGTTGCCTGTGGTTTGCCTGTGTCTCCCCAGAAAGGCAAATTATTTGTGAGTGATGGATATAAATGGGATGGAAATCCCTTAAGTCTCCTTTTCACCACATTTTGAGCAATGGAGTCACAACTGATGCATGTGTACAGCCTGCATGGTGCCAGGCTGTTTAAAACATTCAAGTCCAAGAAATTCTGTATGTGTTGCTAACCATACCCATTCATCATAGTAAATTTCAGTCTATTACGAAAACATTCTCTTGATTAATTACAGCAACTATTCTTCCGTGCTCCATTCCAGGCACTGATCTTTGCTGAGAATTTTTAGAGGAAGGGAAGAAGTAGACACAACATCAAAGGATGATGTTAGTCTTCCATGCCCTCCTTTATTTGACCTGGCTCACACATAATGACAAGTCATCCATTAAAAATATATAGGTTCTCTTGTAAGAGAGGGAGAGAGTGTTGTTGGGGTTAACCTCTAAATTGTTTGGCCCTCAACAACCCAGCAGTCTAAGTTCAGACTTCATATACTGCAGGAGCTGATTGTAGGGTGCTAAATGACAGGCACACTGCAGGCAGCACACCTGTGTCATCCTCACAGCCCACTGCTTTTTGAACTGATGGGTTGTCATTACATGTGAACAACTCCATACATGGAATAGGATGAGTGCAATAGCAAAACATGTTTTAGGTATTAAAGCAGAAGGATAATACTTTGGTGTATGGCTCAAAGAATCAGGTTGTATGGATAATCCATACCCTTCTGAAACAATTAAATTTCCCACTGGTTTTTAAAAAGCCAAAAAATAATAAAAAGTCATATTCTTCACTGCAAGCTAATTATAATGCTGTTCAATAAACTAGCCACAAAGTGAGAGAAAATGAGGCTAGCTCCTTAGTTCAATGTATATTGATGTCTCCAAATTCAACATTCAAGAATGCTTTTGAAAATTGATTTGTATGGAACATTTAACAGAAAACTATAAAAGCTTCTCTAGTCTACTGAAGGAATAGTATCATGAAACACTTATTATAGTGATACCACAGAAACAAACACAAACTTTCCCTATTACACTGAAACAAACACAAACTTTCCCTATTGCAACAAGGAGTGCGGACTGATAACATACAGAGCTTTATTTAGTTCCAGTATTAGAAAAAATAAAAGAACCCCAATTCCTTGGCTAACTCTTCAAGAATCTAATTCACATGTGCAGCAAAATAATAGCCACACAAAAAAGTAAAAGCCATTTATTATCACTGCCACATATAATACTACTCTTTAAACCTGTATATTTACATAAATCAAATGATAATAAAATGTGACTGAAAGTCTCTCACAGCTTTGCATAAATTAGATATTAAGCAGTAGCATACAGGTCCATTTCTAGTCACAACTATAGTCTGCTTTATTTTCTAAGAAGCCATCAAGGTGGTACACCTAGAAATTTTCTAAATAAATAAATAAATCTTTTAAGATTTAAAGAGGAACATTAAAAATAGCAACAGATTGAAACAACTAAATAATTTTGGAGAATAAAATGATAAACTTTCACGCCCTTTCTAAAGTCCAAGAGAGTGGAAGTTAATTGCTGTTCTGGGGGAACACAGTCCACAACGCTGGAGTGACACAGAAGATAGATTCCTTTCATTCACACATGGCCAACAAATGGGCATCATCAAGATAGCCTTTCCTTCACATCTTAATACCTGGGAAAGTTCCTAATGGAACATGTAGTCCTGTAGATAGTAAGATCCTAAGCCATTAAAACCCAAGCTGGTACCCAGACAGGTTCAAATAGCATCCACAATAGGGTCAAATCAACAAGACTAAAATGTCTGGGAAAATAAAGCTGTCACCTGGTGTCAAGCAAAGCACAATGTAGGTAACAGGTGAACCTCTCTGGGAGGCTCATTTCACAACCAGGCTGTCACAACGACCCCTTTCTTAGTAGCCAAAAATCTAACCTATCCTAATCTTGGAATTCAAGTCAGGGTGAATCTTAAGTTGCTTTACTTGCAAAGGCCAAAGCAAGTTCTCATCATGAATGAGCAACTGTTTGGGCTATTTCATCCAGCCTCCTCTCTAAGGAGAACTCATATGGAAAAGTATTCCAAATCTACACTGTGCAGATGCAATAGCAACAGGTAATTAAATTTTCTTTGCTATTCTCACCACAACACTGTAGAACTTTAAATGGGCTTTCACTCACGTTTAGTTGAATTTAACCAATAGCACTGTAGTTGACACCTCTCTTGCTTCATTACCCTCCTTATTAAGAATAAGGTGCTTGATATAAGGGAATTATATTTATTCAGTATAAATTCACAACCAGAATATATTCTTCAGAGTTCTAAAGTGGCTTCTATCTTGTTGGCATGGTAGGCACATCAA